AAAATTAAATTAATTATTAAAAAATAAATTATTATTATTAATTTTATATAACATTTTGTGGATTGATTAATTTAATAATTCATTATTTAATATTCTACACTATATAAATAACATTTTATTTAAATATAGCTACTTTTTACGTTAGTTATATAATATAATAAATATTTATTATTTAATTATTCTGAAAGTATGTATTATTAGATATCAGGAAATATTGAAGAACTGTTTGTTGTAGAATAAAAATTTTAACAAAATTATAATATTTTTTAAAAATAATAACCATGGAAAAATCAATATTATTATATTGATTGATTATAATAAATACTTTTAACGAGTTTTTATATAGGAATAATAATAGATGAAAAAGTTTTTTCCCATTTACGTTAATAATAATTATTTTGTTAACTTAAAAGAAGATAAAAATACATAAGAAGCTGTTACCAGAATGCGAAGAAAATATAAAAATAAAAAAAAATAATAGTATAAGTTGAAACAAAATGATCACTTGGGCATAAAATTTCTGACGATATAAGAATGAAAAAAATACTCGTTTTGCAAATATGTTTGTTTTTAGAACTTCATTCTTTTTAACTTTCCTTCAACAAATTTTCATTTTAAGTCTTATAATTCCCATTGTATAGTCTTATGGTAACAATAAGTAATGGATGTACAAAGCAAAGCTTATGTTATGCCCTATTTTAAATTTTGTTCTAAATACTTACAGTTACCTAATTCTCTGTGTTTATATGTAAATAAAAAGAAATATATAATTTAATTTGCATAACTTCTTTTTCAATGTAAACAAAAATGTAATAAATTAAATAAATTTGATATGATATAAGAATTTTTTTTTAAAGTATAATATATATTAAGATATATAAGTAAAATATTGAATGAATTTCCAATTTACTTTGAACTAAATCAATCTTTATCTTAAAATATATTTAATGATGACAATAAATATTTCTATATGTTTTATTTTCTGTAATGAAGCATTTCTTTATCATATTCTACATTTTTATCTTTATATAATATAAGTGTATGTAAATAATTATATGAAAATTTTAGTAAAACTAAAAAAATTTTAGTAAACAGATTGCAGATATTTATGTAAAAAAAAAGATACAAAATATAAAAAATAATACATATATTTATGATATTTAAGGAATTAAACAAATTTTTATTTAAACTATAACTTTCATTACTCATATAAAAATTTTTTATCAGAACGAATTGGTTTCGTTTACATTTCACTTTAATATTATTCTAAAAGTAACCACCTAACCATGAAATATCAAAATTCAAACAAATCATATCTTTCATCACAAATATTCAACATTGATATAAGAATGTTTAACACAAAAGAAGAAGGAATGGAAAAGAAAAAATGGTTCGTGAATGAGTAATAAAAAGAAAGGGATGATATCAGTGCAATGGAAAGCGATGTACATCATCTCAGTCGGCACGAGATCACCTAGTCGTTGGTATCAGTGTTTCAAGCGCGTCCACGTGTCGTGTCGTCATCGGAATCGAGTGGGCTCATTGTTAATTCACATACCTAACCGTCACCCAGGTTCTCCGCCCGATTATGAAGAAAACTAGGTGAATTGATAACAAACGCGGCGTATGAACGATTCATCCCTCTCGCGCGGCCCTCGAACGCCGGTTGTGCGCATGCGCAGCCTTGGAATCAGGCTGCACATCATCGCGACGCCATGCGGCACTCACTTGAATTCTCGCCGCGTGTCCGTCGAATTCTCCCCCATTCGTGGCAGAGTTTGAAAACGCGACGGAGCCGGAAGTTGCGCGCTTCTGTGCCAATCTTTCCCTTCAAGCTCGAGATCGAGCAATGTCTTTCTAGATAAAAATAAACAACAGATACATCGGATTATTTTACATCATTATTATTCGATTTATATTCGACATATATTCCATTGGATTGTACAGCTCGATGTATCATTCTCTCGAATAATGTGGTGCGCGGGTGAAGAGGAAAGACAAGTGGATTAATTAGCAAAACGATTTCGAAGAAGTATGTTGTGGATGCAATTTCGTTATTCGATCGGTTGATCATCGTAGCTGGTAATGCCGTTTCACTGGAAAGATTTATCGCGAGGTTGATTACGAGTGAAAGGATAGAAAGTCGAGGAGAGATTGAGGGGAATATATGATCAAAATCCGTTAACGAAAAGGAGAAGTATTCGAAGTAATGGTGAAATATTATTCGTTAAGGATTATTGGTTATTGTTAAGGAAAATTGTTCAGGGATTTGGTTATTAGTTAGGAGGAATTGTCAGTGAATATTGGAAATGTGAAGGGTTTGGCTCAATGTAAATTTACGTTATGATTACGTTGTTAATCAGTTGAGAAAGTATAGTCGATTTAGATGATATTTGTGCAATTGTATGTTTATCGTTAAGTTTAATTTTTACGAATTAAGAATCGTTTCATTGGATTTCGTTTGCATCGAATTTATTGGAATGATATTATCTGTGGATTGTTAAGTTGCAACGTGACAACTCAATACCGATTCAGAACTTGGGAAGATGAAACTAAGAACTCAGGCAGGCATGACGAAGTGGAACACCGAGAATTGAAGTTTTGGGGATTTATGTGGCCTACTTTGGCGCAGTCCTCCAGTCGAAGGATATACAAGGTGAGTTACCCATTACTTGTTGCCTTTATGTGTTTCCTATATTTCTGTTTTTAGTTAAAATATATTATCTATCATTTTTTCATTTTCCCAATATTTGAAATTCCATGTATTTATTTTTCTCAATTTTTAAACGAAATTAGAAATTCAAGAACAATTTAATTTATATAATAATATTCTAAAAAGAACATAAAGAAAGTAATGAAATTTTAGATTTTTCAAAAATAAAATATAATTATGTATATCTTTTATATATAATAATTTCTTTATATAAAATCTTAAATTTGAAAAATTATGTTAGAATTTGATGTACTGGAATATTTTGTTTAATATGGTTTAAGAAACTGAATTTTGGGAAATTAATAGAAGTTGATATTAAAATAAGAAATTTTGAATTATATAATGTTTAATTAATTTGAATTAATATTTTTACAAAACTATTTTCCATTATAAAGTTAAATAACAACATTATAGTATAGACATTTTGCAAAAAATTTCTTTCAAACAAAAATAATAATTTTTAATAATTAATATAATTTATTTGTAAAATGTTGAAAACTTCGTTACATCTTTTATTTTTTTAATATTAGATACGAATTAACGTATTGTTTCATGTTTTTAGCGCATGTAACCTCTTTTTCTTTTCTTGAAACAACGAATGCATTATGAAACATATACATAGTTTCGCTTTTATCTTTATGCGTGCGTGAAGTTGACGATCGATTATCGAAAAAATTATATATTCCAACGATCATGCTTTGTTGAACAAAATGTAAATTCATTGGCGGTCTCGTGAAAAGGAGAGGAACGAGGTTGACACAGAAATTCTTTCACGAAACGGAATGAAGATGTGTGAAAATTCATTCAAATTCAAAAATCGGATGGATCGGATTCCACGATTTTCATGCTCGATAAAAAAAAACTACAATTTTCAGTGGTGCCAACTTAAACGGGATTCAGAAGCGTTTATTCCATTCAACCGAGTGATACTCGATCTATGATTGACGTGGATGAGAAAGGAACATTATTGTACAAATAAATTCCACGTTAGATTTAACTCTGATGCGTATATAAATATCCTTAGTTTATATTAGTTTATCATGATAGAATTTAGTTTATATTTTAGTTTATATATATATAGTATATATTAATATAAGAATAGTTATTTCTATTAATAGATGATTTTTTAATGATGATTTTAAAAATATCAACATAATTTCATGTTAATTTATTTTGTTAATTTTATTTTATGTTCATGTTAATTTTAAAGTTTTACACTATCAATTGAAAATTTTTAAATCTTTTATTTTACTATTGTTCTGAATCTTCTTATAATTTTATTATTTTGTGTTAATAAATAATAATTTCCTTCGTTTCAATTTGTGACTTAAATGTTTTCTTAAATAAGAAAATTCTAAGTAATTTTTTTTCTGCATTTATAAATCTTTCATTACCAATGTATTTTGGAGTAATATTGTTTAATAATGGATAATATTTTTTAAAAAAATTTGAAAAAATTCCTTTTATATAGCACCTCTTAATTATAAATAAAGATTCATTATCTTTTAATTTGTAAGGAATTTAAATCATTTGTATTAATTTAAATGTTTATAGATTAAAGATTAAAAAATAAATAAGATAGATATATATCAAAATATGATAGTAAAGTTAAGAATAAATGATAATATATATATATTATGATCATTGAATCTATATATATATTATAAATATTTAATTTTAATTTCTATTATTTTCCAAGTTTAAATTGTGGAAAACTTCATAATAATATACGGTATTTTGTTATATAAAATAAAAAATTTCGTACTTTGAAACATAAAATTTACAACTTTCATATATGTCCTATTGCAAAATTGAATAATTAATTGTTAGTAATTTAAAAAGAATATTTGAAGGTAGGTGATAAATATTTAATTTTAATTTTGAAAACAAAATTAATCATTAAATTTGATTAAGAATCAATATATTCAGTTTTATGTAAGCTTTCACTTTTCAATTGGAAACTTATTATAACATTGTTGAAATAAAATTCCATATCAAAAGTGAATTTTATTACCGTATTAAGCTCACCTATTTTGCATGAGAATTGAAGGATTAGTTGATAGTAAACGTGAAAGGATTCTAGTTCGTGCGTTCCATGTTAGACTTCTAAAGGACAATCGATAAATATCGATTAGTTAATTCTTTGTGAAGAATAGAGAGACGTGTATTTGTATTATCCTGTCATGGTCAAAGAGCGATGTAGGCCAAAATGTATATTGTTAAGTTAATGAAATTAAAAATTATTATTATATGCTTTGTTACGTGTAATGGAACAATGTAAACTGTAGAAACATGTATAAATGTTTTTTCTTTGTACTCATTTCTTTGTACATTTTATCACATTGTATATTAAAAAATTACTCAAAAACGAGTTAAAATTAAATTTCATACTTTGTATGCTTTTCTGTTCGTACACTATCTTTGTTATATTACTTATTATACTTATTATTACTATTATTATACTTACTTATTATTACTATTATATTATTATAATATCAAATTTTTTATAATTCTGATAATTTCTATTATTTTACAAGTTTATATATATATATATATATTATATTTAATTTTAATTTATATTATTTTCCAAGTTTAAATTGTGGAAAACTTCACAATATAGGATATTTTTATATAAAAATAAAAAATTTCGTATTTTGAAATATAAAATTTAAAAATTTCATATATGTCCTATTGCAAAATTAAATAATTAATTGTTAGTAACTTAAAAAGAATATTTGAAAATGAGTAATATATGAAAATAAATAATAGTTTCTTTAAAAATTCATGACTCTTATTAAGCGTAAAATGATTGTACTAACTATGAAAATAAACGAAAAAGAAAGGAATATAAATTAAAAAATGCTTTTATAATAACTAATATATTCAATGAACTGCATGAGCAAATAATCGAAAATGATTTAATTACACGATGATGCAATGATGTGCTCATAAAATTATTAACAAGCAAACACTAATGATATAAAACAAGATATTAACTTTTCATTATTTAAACAGTTCACGTATTGAAATTGAAAATAATAATCCAAAAAATTTAAATTATCCCTTCGTTTCAGAAATTTTTTTTTCAAGTTAAAACGAAATTTAAATTAAAATTAAAATTAAAATAAAAAAAAAAAAAAAAAAAAAAAAGAAAAAAAATTCAATCCAAATTTGATTAAATTTAGAAAAACTACTAAATTTAGAAAAACTTTTAAATTTTTATTTCAAATCTATCATATTCTGTTATATATGTGCTTAAAATATATCTTGACAAATTATAATATTATATAATCTGAATTTTATCGACAGATTCAATTAAACCCATTTAACGCACATGGAGAAAAAATTCTCGATAAATAATTATGGCTACTGTAATGTACGAAGAACGACGAATCATATTTTTCGAAAAGGCTGATAAAGAGCACGACAACCTAGCGAGCACACGCTATCCTTCTTGAATTTATGTTTAACTTAATATGGGAAAACCGTCACGAACATCTTGAGTAACAAGAAATAGAAGCGAATTTCACTTTTAGAACGATATAACATTTCTGCGTGTTTTTACAATCTTCTTTTTTGCTTACATACAGATTTTAAAATAATTATCCCTGCACGCAATTTTTTTTTTAAGGAAATGAAACATACGTATACATATTCCATATTATTTAAAATATTAATTATGAAATGTTTAATAATTATCGTGTTATAACTATTAAGTTAATATGAAACTTGTGCTAAATATTATTTAATATTTTATTACGCTTGATACACTTACACATAGTTATTATTAATAATAAATATATATTTCTTTCATACGAAACAAGTTTCAAATTTTTCAATGTTGAAAATAATTAAATTAGATAATTGAATTAAAATAAAAGATAAATTTTCGAATGTGGCAAATACTTCTATAATATAATATATTTATCACGTATTCGTAACTATTAAGATATAATTTTTTATTAATAAATTATTTCTCATTTTATATTTTCATGTCACAATATTTTAATCTTATTCGTAATTATTATGTTGTTGGTTTTGTATTTAAATTGATATTATATTAGAAATCATATAATAAAATAGATAAAAAAATTTGTTATATTTTTACAATAATTAATTTTATGATTCATATATTCTAATATATTCTAATATATAATGTATGTATACGATAAATGAATTCGATAAATTTGTCTACGATTTAATTAGAATATTAATTATTAATATTTTTGAAATTACATAATTAATATGAAAAATTGACGAAAATATTACGTGTCATAAATATAATTAAACGAATTATTAGATATATTGTTATTTACAAAAATAAAGTTTAAATCAGATAAATAGGATATAATCAACATGATAAGTCACGTTTACGTTTCTCTGAATTTTATTCCTATTGAATATTGAAGTGAATATGGTCGGTCAAGTGTCAAATCAATAAATCAAATGGTGAGTTTATTTATCGTATCAATCATAAAGTTTAATCTCACAAAACTGTTCCCATGTTTAGTAATTATCAATCATTCCGTGTTGATATTACGCCTTTTTATATAAATTTGATTTTTTCTTATATTATAAAATAATTAACATATTTTAATGAAAATTAATGAAAATAATTGTAATGAAATAGTTTATTGGAAAATTTTAATTTTAAACTCGTAATTTTAGCAGATAGAAAGAAACAATATAACGTCAGTAACAACTTTCATAAAATAAAAGATACCGTACTACGTTATATGCAGCAGAAATATATTAATTATAAAATGCTAATGATTGTTAGTTTCAGGGTAAAATTAAATTAATTTATTAGTATGTATTGTTTTATTGGTTAGTATTAGGAATAGTAACGATAATTGTAATAAAATTGGGCACTTTAAATTTAAGCACTTGAAAAAAAAAAAAATAACAAATAGAAAGAATTAATAATTGATTGAGATAAAAAT